GGGGCCGGAGGGTGACACGGCGCTGGGGACGCTGGCGCGGCCGGGGCCCTCCGCGTCTCGTGGGACAGCTCTTTTTCCTCAGTATTTCCAACGTTTCTGAGGAAACAAACTGCGTGTCTCTTTAAATTATGGTAATCAGAGCGTTTTCCCCCTGGTTACTAATACTCTTGCTTGCAGGATAAGATGTGAGGTGCGTGCAGTGAGGAAGCGCTAGCTGGAAATGGAAGTTATATGGTCAAAACTTGTAATTCGTTATGCTAGAGATCTATAAAACCTTTAAATGCATTCAGACTCTGCTGTTTGACCTTGTAATAATTTTCCCCAGACCAAACAGAGTGAATTTTCATGATGGAAAGCGTGCTGAACGTAGCGTGGTAGCAGAATGATAGTGCTATTGCCATATTGTCTACAGGCAACTATGGGAGTTGCACGTCTGCCAGCGAGGCCTTCCTTCTTGGCTTGGGAATACACCCATGGCAGGGATTCCCAGGCTGGGTTAGCCGACACGTCAGCCCATCGGATGCAGCGCGGGAGCTCTGAGCACCAGCAGAAACACACGTGAGTACCAACAACAGCCCTGCCTCTGTGCAGAAAGCTGGCTCACCACTGCCCACTGCCACAGCCGAGGACCCAGACTTCCCCTCATCTGCCCCTGCTCCTCATCCTGCGGGCAGCGGGCCCTGCCTGTGGTCGGGAGAAATCAGAGTCACAGAATGGTCAGGGTTGGAAGGGCCCTCTGTGGGTCACCCAGCCCAACCCCCTGCCGAAGCAGGGTCACCCAGAGCAGGCTGCACAGCACCGCGTCCAGGCGGGTCTGGAATATCTCCAGAGAAGGAGACTCCACAGCCTCCCTGGGCAGCCTGGGCCAGGCCAGCCTAGATATTAGCTTGGACATTGTCCGTCATGGATGCCTTTAGTGCTGCTGAGCAGCTGGTGATGGCTCCCACACCTCATCAGATGATAATACTCTTTGAGCTGTGTTTTCTCAATTTCTAAATATTTCTGTGGCTGTCTTAAAATGGAAAAAAAAACAAACCCCAAATTAAAATTGGTTTAAAAATAATAAGGAAATTTTTAAACGAAATAATCTCAGTAATTTCCACAGAAAAAATTATCAGAGATGTTTTAGTGAACTGTTATTTCAAGCACCTGAAGATGATATATTATATACCATATATTATTACATATTTCACTGGACTTGCAAAACTGCCTGACTTTCACTTCTTTTTTTCTGAGTATCTGTTATATGAAACACATGGATACCTCTTCCTTCTAATGTCTCTGTTCCTTGTGCCCCGCACCTCGGGGTTATATTGGCCTATTCTGGAGTGGCTTCAGCGATTTCTGGCTTCCGCTGGCGGGAGGTGCCGTTTGCCCCTTCGGCGGTGGTCTGGAATCTGTACAGAGGGTGGTACTCCAGCAGAAGTGGAGCTCAGTCTCGGTTTCTGTGTAAAACACGTTAAAACTAAATGTGTAGCAGGCAGCATCACTATTTGATCCATGTTACCAGTCATAAGAATTTTCTTATTAAAGAACATTCTTAGAGTTGTATAAAGTAGTTAGAAACCGTGGGAAAGATCAAGATTGTTTCAAGATTCAGATGTAATCTTTGAGTCTGTTCCTGCACAGATTTCTTCCTTCCGCTCATCTGGGTAAACTTGTTTAGTGTTGTGGTGGAATGTAATTAAGTCTAACTTTTTGTTCTTGGTTTGGGTTTACACGGAAAGGATGCTATCGTTTGGGAACAAGATCTGCCTGGTGACCATCTGTCTCTCCCTTAAGATGAAGTATGGCATTGTTTTAGGCAGTGGAATGAGGAAAGATTTTCTTGAAAAAACAAATGAGCACTTTGCTTTTTTAAAACTCCTGGCCCCGGCAAACTGTAGCTTGAAGCGGAACGCTCCTGATTTGAAGTATGTCATAGCTGCTTCCTCAAAAATAAATGAGGCCACCGATTTCTGTCAAAACAATTCAAGTTTTTGTTGAAGTGCCTAAATCTGGGTTGTGCTGACTGCATCTTGTCTGAATCCTCAATCAGAAGCCATTGGGAACATAAGGCATCAGTATCAGACAGTGGCTCCATGGCCCAAAAGCAAAAGTTTTCCTGATAATAGAAATATTCATGCTGTTATTTTGCAGTTTATGAAGTATGTTCTTGACCAAATTTCTTCCTAAAACACAGAAGTAGTCATAAATATTATGGAAATAAAAGGATTATCTTTACTGCTCTTGCTTTTTCTCCAAATCTAAACTGGACCAAGCTCAAAATTTTAAATGGGGGCAGCAGTATTTCCCAGTAGGATTTGTTTTGTCTACTTTATTGTTGCCACTTAGCTGTGCAAAGTATAGACTCCAAAGCACATTTGTGTCAGATTGAAAAGTAGAATCTTCAAAGCACATGATTAGCAGTAAGTCTGCTCTTTGGTACGGTTTTGTTTTTCATCTTCTGTGCTGATATGAATCTTAATGTCCAAAGGTCTAAGAATGGTTTTCATGAATATCACTATCTTACAAAAAGACAAAGCAAACCCTAATGAGTCCATAATTTCATACTAGGAGTTGTTCAGTTGATTAATTTGTGCCATCTCTTCCTTTAGGTGTCAGAATCCTTGAAGAATCCCTAGTGTGCAGAAGGGGAAATTCCTGTAAGGCAGCACAGGCAGGGAGCAACCTCAGGTGGGTCAAGAACAGTACCAGAAAGCTGCTGTTGTGGCTCTTCCCGTCACCGTAACAGTGCCAGGAACAGGTGCCCTAGGCCTGAAGAGCCTTTGTAGCTCCAGTAGCAAAGAGCAGGGCAGTGATACGGAGTTGTTCTGGCCCGATCACAGTTCCTTTTCTCCTGCGTGTCTGCAGCAGGTCGGTGCAGGAATACCTAGGCTGTACACGGGGTGGGAGGACTTCAGCGTTTAGAGGGTGGATGCCAGAGATGATACAGCCAACAGTCTTGAACATCTTGATTATTACTGGTCATTGGTTAGTAACTTTCTGAACATCTGTTTATTTCTCTCTCTCTCTCCCTCTTTTTATTTCTGCATTCCATTGAATTAATATATTCCGGAATCTTGTGTAGCAGTTCTTTCAAACCACATTTGCTGTGTTTCGTCATGTTGCGTACGGTGACCTTTCTGTCAGGTTCTGATTACACTTGGCCAGCTATGCCTAAACCCTTGGGAACACACACGGATTGTTTCTGCGAGTAAGGCTTCTCAACAGCGCTGAAGATTCTGCGTTGCTTTGAGCTATGGTTCTTTCTTGGCATAGCTCTGCTGAAAAGATTACAAGCTCTTACAGCCGGATAGTTAATACAGTCCTTCTAATCTAATTCAAAGGCTTTTGATAAATGGTTTTTAGCTTGAAAATCCTGTGGAAAGAAACTCCCTTGAGATTAATACATTGTGTGTGAACAGACCAAATAGGACCATGTTTGCTGTCATCCACTGTTAATATGAGGACATTCCAGTATTCCATATGGCTAAGTGCATTGCTCTGGCATTAGTTACCGTGGTAGCTGACATCTTGTTAAACAGAAGTATTCTTAAAAACCTTCAGACAGAAATGTGTCTTTTTCAGGATGGTGATTGCTATCGCATTCCACCAGTAACAACTGTATCAAAAAGAAATACTGACTGGCAAGAATCCACTCCGAGTGCCACAGCAAATAATATTTGTGATTAAAATACATGTCACCCCAGCGGTGATTATAGCTGATCTCTGTGGTGGTGTACAACTCGTGTTCGAAAACGTAACGTAGGAACATTCTGTGCTGTGTGGAATTACAGTGCACACCCTTAATATCGCTGTAACAAAACAAATGTTCTCAGCATGGACTTTGATATGCCCTCTCTGTTCTTTGCTTTTATAACATTAGTTTGTCAGAGTAAATCTTCAGAGATACAGTGAAGAGAGAGCTGATATTTTAAAATTCTTTATTTCAGCCGGTTATGGAATGTAAGACAGCAATGAGTCCAGCTGTCTTTCAGAAAAGGAGTCTCGCTGCTTTGATGTTGTCTCCAGATGCCTGCACGTGTCTTTTCCAATAGTGCCAGTGTGTATGTTCTGTTATACTTGGGGGTGTGTATATTTTCCTCTTTTTAAGTTAGTCTGAAAAGGATATTGTGCCTTTGGCCTTGTGTCAGTGTTTACCCTGGATTTGATGTTTTACTGTGGAGTTGAAGCATCTGTGCAGTCTCTTGCAGCTTTTTCAGTTCTTTATCTATGTGCTAGTACCATGTGGATTTTAGTTTAAATCATACCACAGCCAGAAGTATGATCCCACTCGTA